CCTGGAACGGAGAGACTGGGCCGCTGTTCTGTCAAACCAGCATACCCATAGTCAATACGCAAGCGCAAGACGTCAGATTTGCTTTTATCCCTTTAGTTTTGAACGAAAAATACACTTTAAACCACCTCAAACGTCAGATCGCCATACGCTTAAAAAAAAAACCAAAAGTAAGTAATTAATTAAATAGTTTTTGTGCATGACTAAAGGGTTACACGCCTGTTGAGATAGTTTAATTAAAGTCGTAGGGAAGCGACTGCTGCAACTGTTTCATTTCTGAATTCTCCCGAGTGACGCACGACTTTACACAAGTGAATAAAGTCAATGTGATTGGTCGATTATCAAGGGAGCGGGATTGATTAGCATCTTGCTAACCAGTTAGCAACTTAGTGCTAGTGTATGAAGGTAGATTTGTTTCTTTATTATTCAATCAAAAAATATATTTTCAATGAAAAAAAAAACTTTTCAATCAAAGAAAAAAAGTATTTGAATGCAAAAATATATTTGAGACTCAAAAAAATTAATTTGAACACTGCTTTTCTTTGATTGAAAATGTTTTATTTGATAGAAGTGCAGTCTTTTATTGTTTAAAGCAACTTTTTGAATTGCAGTAACATTGTTTTTTGAATGGACCATATAATGGGTAGGACTTTTGTCTCTTTATTATTCAATCAAAAAAGAAGTTGCTTCAAACAAACAACAGAATTAATAAAAAAGTAACTTAAAATGAAAAGATAAACGTTTTCAATCATAAAAAAATAGTTTTTGTATGCAAATAAAATATTTGAGACTCAAAAAATTGCATTTGAACACTTTTTTATTGTGTTGAAAATGTTCTCTTTGGTTAAAAAAAAATGAAAAATCAAAGAAAAAACTGTTTGAATGCAAAAAATAAAAAATAAGTAAATAAATTACCCCATAAATATTTTTTTAAGTGAAAAAAATGAAGTTCAAATGGTTTTATTTGAATAAAAAATTTTTTTGAAGTGCAAAAAGTTTTGAAGTTCATATTTTCATATATGAACTTTCATATAAGTTCTTTTTTTTTTTATTTAATAATTTTGACCCCCCCCTCTTTTTAAGACTAATAAAGAGTACATTTATAAACATGTTTAAACCAGAATGATTTCAAATTAAAGTATAACTTCCCTATGACTTTAAATAAAGAAATAAAATAAAACCAAATGTACTGTGGTGTGTGTTTTCATGGGGTCACAGAAAAGCATGAAATAAAAAACAGGGCAGGGGATTCAAATATATTTAGAGATCTGCATGAAGTGACATTTCTATTCAATTAGGTTTAATTAAAATCTACATATTTTTGACTTAATTTCAGTTAAAATTACTGTTTTCTATCAAATCTGAATTAGAGCTCAAGAAAAACTGATAAATTCAGCTGTAAAATTCACCGACCTTGTGAGCAACTGCTGCATTGGTTGAACCACTAATGAAGCAACTCACCAGAGTAAAAAAAAAAAAAAACTTTAGCAGAAACCTGCAATCTAAATCCCACTGAAGCTATCACCTTATTGTGTTTAAATTATTAATAAAACAGAATCTGGAAAGAAGAAAATGAAATAGATCCCAAGGACCGATCAGTAACCACGTCTGTTCCAGCGCATGTCATCATTATAGCTTTGGTAGAGGGGCCAGGAAAACTACAGGGGCACTGGCCCCCGTTGAGCCCTGCCTAGAACCACCCATGGATAAACGGGTACTGACTAAGGGTATGCTGGTCTGACGGGGTATGATCATCTGACAGAACCTGAGGAGGTGCAGCCATGGTTACCTTCTCTGCCGAGCCACTTGGTGAAGTCGGTGAGGGTCTCCCACTGGGTGGAGTTCATGTGGATGTGCTCTCTGTGGCTGATGTATTCATTATAGACGATGTTGTTGTGGACCCTCTTGGTTCCTGGAAACCAGAGCAACAATCAGAACCAGAACTTCTCCATCTGTGGACCAGCCGTCATCTGCTACCTTCTCACCAAAGCGTCTCCTGAGCAGCTCCAGGAACTCGCTTTTGAACTCACTGTGGAGAAACACAACGATTCTCAGACTCTGTGCCCAGGAACTAGGCTGCGTTACCATGGTGATGGACTCACTTGGAGAAGAAGTCCATGAACTTGGTGGGGTTCTCCGAGGCCAGCAGCAGCTGCCTCTGGTGGGACTCGGACATGCAGTGACACTTGAAGCCATTCTGTCTCACAAACGGAAAGTTCGGGTTTATTATGCATCAAGGAGCCGCAGCGTTCCGTGAACGCACCACAGACAGACTCTCACCTCATCTCGACATTGTTTCTGGCACATCTGGCAGTACCAGCGCAGCTTCTGCAGACCTTTGGACTTGATACGGTTGCTGATCGCCTTAGGAGACAAAAAATCCGCCTTTCCCATCGCGACCACCTTTAAAAACGAAAAGAAACAGACTTTAGACCGCCGAAAAGAAAACAACAGCTCTACGATACAGGAAACAAGCCGCCATTAAATCACGAAGGACCCAAGTCTCGCGATATATGAAATGCTGCGTTCACTAGCTCCGGATCTTACATTTCATTTCTATTAGCGTCGAAAACAGCAATAATAGTATCAAATTATTTCAAAAGAATGAAAAAGCAATAATAATATTTCTTTTTTGATGTAAACCCCCAGGAAAAAAAAAATCTGTTTTATCATTTTGAGAATAATTTATATATTGGCTTACTCCAAATCATAGGCGTTGTCAGAGCTAGTTTACTGATTAACCCAGGACACTCATTCATCTATCCTTTGCATTGCAGCTATTTCATTTCATCCAAATGAAAAATGGAGAACAGAGAAGCAGATCATGGCTTGTCTACAGTGAAAAGAAGGACTGGGTTATTTACTTTTTGGAAACACAGGAAGGAGCAATCAGCTAAGTGAGCTTAGTGCTTGGAAAAAATCTTTCATTCCTTTTGAGACAGCATGAAAAGTCAGCTGAGTACAAAACATAGAGAGGAAAACAAGAAAAGGGAAAAGAAGAGAGGGACACAACCTAGAACAAATAATGGATGTCTATTCTATTAACATTTCTTTATCTGTATAATGGGTCTGTTTTATCTGTTTTGTCTTCTCAATTCTGAGTGCCCCCTGCCTGTCTTTTCCTAGGGCCCCAAATTTCCTAAATCCGCCCCTGCTCACAGCCCAGCAACATTACAGCCCAAAGATCAAATTAAAAGCAAGCGCACTATAAATGGCACAAACAATCACATTAGGATTCGTCCAAATAATATTAAAAGTTTGTCCTTGTTCATTGTTGATTCAGACACTCAGCGAGCCCAAATATACAATAAACTTTATAAATTACTATTTGGTTAAATTTGGTGAAGAACAGGATGTTGCTAGACACAAAGCTAGATTAGAAAACCTTCTAAAAATGTCAGACAACTGAAGAGACTCAATGTCAGTGTAAATTGGACTCTTGTTTATAAGCATTTCGTGTATCATTTATTCTTTTTTTTTTTCTTAATTTACTGACGCATTTCAGCATAAAATATAATGTCAATAAGTATTTCAGTGTTTGACTTTCCCACCAGCGCCCAAAGCTGTTCAGCGTTGAAGCCTATTTTACCAACATTTTTAACTGTCCCTGAAGGCAGCGTCAGTCCGTCCCTCATATCGCCGCCTCTCTTTGCGCATGCGCAGTCCTGCGTGTCTGACCTTCATCGCGGTGAAGATGTTCTCCAGGAGCAGCGCGTTGGTCTTCTCCCCACTATGGTAAACTCCTTATACCCCATAAACCATTGAATCATCCCCGCTGTGTGAGCAGCTAATGCGGACATGAGGCCGGAGTCAGTCCGGCTGCCTGAGCGCTGAACGCGGAGTTATTGAACGGAAGGACGCGCTAACGAGCAGGCCGCAGCTAATGAATGACAGCAGCCTGCTTCCATGCTAATGCTAACAGAGCTCTGAGGTTTCAAAGATAAACGGCGACCTAAATCACTGTTAAGACCAGATTGTGTTTATTGTGATGTTCTCAATGCTAACAGTGCTAACAGTAACCTTCTGCTGCTTGTTTCCACAGTGGGCAGGTCAGGAACATGGCTACCCTGAAGGACAGTAAGTAGCCTCAGCGCAGCAAAGCGCCTCTATTTCTTATAAATCCGTTAACCTGTTTAGACAGACTTAACTGGTTTGTACCGGTTATTGAAATGTCCATAATGTTTTATAAATGAAAGTGCATATATCTACCGCCTCTTCTGTGGTTAGTATAGATCTATAGAAAGCAGATATTCCTCCTTTTTCATGTTGAAGCCATTTTTTTCTCGTTCAACGTGTTAAATGCATTAAATCATGTTTCAAATAGTTTCTGCATGGAGGTTTTACTAAAGATGGAAAAAAAGTTTTCTCTATGAAGGTTTGATTGAGTTACATTAATTGCTGCAAAACCTAAGTAGTAGCTGTGCTGCTTATTATTATTATTATTAT